ACACACACACACACACACACACACACACACACACACACACAGACGCGCGCGTGCATGGGCGATGACACCAAGAAGACGGCCATTGTGATGGTTAGGAGGTCAACAATCGAGGAGGAGGAGAGGGAGGGAGGAGGAGAGGGAGGGATGACGAGGAGAAAGTTGGAGGAAGGAGGAACGAGGGAAGAGGAGGAATGAGGGAAGAGGAGGGAAGAGGAGGAACGAGGGAAGAGGAGGAAAAGGAGTAGGGAGGACAAAGACTATGAGGATGACGGAGCCGACAAGGATAGAGGATGGAGGATGGAGGAGAAAAGAGGAGAGCGACGAGCATGGATGGAGGAGGAGGGAGGAGGGCGATAAGCATGTATGGAGGAGGAGGGAGGAGGAGCATGGACACACACACACACACACACACACATATGCAGACGCGCACATGTGCATGGGCGATGACGCCAAGAAGACGGCCACGGTGATGAATAGGAGGTCGACAATCGAGGAGGTGGAGAGGGAGGGGTGACGAGGAGAAAGTTGGAGGAGGGAGGAACGAGGGAAGAGGAGGGGAAGAGGAGTAGGGAGGACAAGGACTCCGACGAGGATAGAGGATGGAGGCTGGACGAGAAGAGAGGAGAGCGACGAGGACGGAGGAGGAGGAGGAGGGAGGAGGGCAATGAGCATGGACACACACACACGCGCGTGCACGCTCCCCTTCTCACGGTAGCTGTATGCACTCCAACACATTGATCACCTATGCGGCGGACTCGATGACTCACTGCTGCATCTTTTTCGTGGCGGTGGCGGCGCATGGAATGCCTACCACTTCGAATTTGAATTCCTGCCGCCACTGCTGCAAGGGCATCACAGAAAGATGTGTGCCCCTCGTGAGGGCATTTCAAGGACGGACCGACGAAACGCCACCAGCGGTCCAGTAAGGGCATATGAGAAAGTTATGCCCCATGCTGACAGGGGCACCACGGGCACGCTGCAAATAAACACAAACTTCGGGGGCATTTCGAAAATTTTCCCAAAAAAAACACACAAAGAAATAGCTGGTTGATTTGTAACGCTGGGGGAGCCCCAGCGGGAGTGAGGGCGTGAGAGAGGGGGAGATATATATATATATATATATATATATATATATCCTCACAAACAGATATATATATATATATATATATATATATATATATATCGTCATCTTCTTCCTTACAACTCCCCCTGTTCAGAACCTCTTGCGTACAAGGCCGCCCACGTGGATGTAGGTTGAGCGGCGGCTGCCCCCACCCCCGTGTGTCATATCGACCCACTTGCGCACAGCCAAATGGCAAAGAGGCAAAGAAAAGAGGAAGGAAACAGCCCAAACAAAACAGAACAGGGGGCTGCAAAGCAAATCCTAAATGACAATCCTAGATGACAAGTCCCACATGCAAACAGCCCCCCCGGCCTAAATGACAATCCTAGATGACAAGTCCCACATGCAAACACCGCCCCCCACAACTACAGGCCAAACGACGGGACAAGACCAGCCAGGATGTCATACCAGAAAAAGGAGGACCCGGATGACCAGTCCCACATGAAAGCACCGCTACCAGGATCAACCAGGCAACATCCCAAATAGCCGAGCAACGGGACAAAACCAACCGGGACGCAGGCAAGGCAAAAAAAGCTCCGATCCACAGTGTGACAACCAAAAAAAAGGAAGAATAGACAATCCCGGATGACGATTCCCACATACAAGCACCGCCCCGCGCTCAAAAGGCCGAACAACGGGAAACAACCAACCAGGATGCCAAAAACCCGAATGACTGATCCCACGTGAAAGCACCGTATACACACACACAGAGAGAGAGAGAGAGAGAGAGAGAGAGAGAGAGAGAGAGAGAGAGAGAGAGAGAGAGAGAGAGAGA